TTAGCCCTCATTTTAAAGTACAAAACATCCTTTATATTGTAATAATATTTCAAAGTATTACTGTTTCTAATCAAAAGAATGCAGCTTTGGTGAGCATAAGACACTTCCTTCAAAACAATACAAAAACCTAATTTGTGTGCATACAGATCAATGTTATCTGTCGACGTTTTGTGCAAAAATCAGTGTGGAATAATGTATCTATTCTTTATACAACTCTCTCAAAAGTGCAGATAAAGTGAATATTAAAGGGGTAGAAAATTCTGTCATCACTGTTCTAAACTTGTATGAATTTCTTTCTTCTGTTGAAGACAAAAGAAGATATTTTGATAAAGGTTGGTAACCAAACAGTTGCTAGCCACTGACTTCCACAGTATGGAGAAGAAAAAAAAACTATGGAAGTCAGTGGCTACCATCAACTGTTTGGTTGCCAACGTTATTGGGTGAACTATCCTTTTAAGGACATGAATACTAGTTGTGTTGAATTCAGAGCATTTCTTCCTTTTCTGAGCCAATTGCTGTGCCTCGAGATGCCAGATTTGTCAGGGTCTTTTGGCAACTGCAAATTACAGGAAAAAAAGAAAAGAAAACCAATGCAAAGTTGTTTAGAAAGATCTGCCAAAAGCCCATCGTGTAGTTGTTATCAACATCATTATGTTTCTTTTAAAAAGAATGGGCTATTTCATATGTTTCTCTGTAGCAACATGACCAGTCTTGACATGACAGAGGCAAACAGTGTTGATACAGAAAAAAAATGCTGCAGGTAGTCAGCTTTAAATTTAAATTATATACCTTACTGATACTACCTATACATTAGCCTTTGTTATACAGAATCACTGTCAGAGGTTCCCTACATTTGCGCTATGGGCATGAATTTGACTACTTGTTAAGGAGAGTTGAATTTTTTTTTTTTCAAACTGGTCAGACTTTTCATCTGCTAGATAAATAAAGCATCCCTTTGACTTACATTAAATCAGGGACCTGAGTCATATTTACAAACAAGAATATTATAGAGACTTGGGTCAGCAATTAACTACTCAGAGCACCCTAGCAACCACACAGCATACCATTAACCAGAACACCTTTGAAACTGCATAGCAAAACCCTGGCAACCATTTTACAATAGCATAACATTGTGGTTTTTATGCATTGATATGCACAACACAAGATTTCATGTGTTAACTAACTGTTCAGTTGTTATTTGACAAGTGGTAATGTAATTAGCAATTTTCCAGTGATTCTAAGTTAGCTGATTAACTTAACAAAAAGCTGTTTTCTGCAATTAGGTCAGAGAAAAACAAATCAGCATTACCCAACAGGAGCAGTTTCATATGCAGCTTAAAAAATTTGACTAAAATATGTGAAAAACTACCTGATTAAAGCGTCATTTGCAGATGACCACTCATCTGCCAACCCGAGAGTTTTTGATTTACTTGCATAAATTTAATCTAAAAGAATGAAACATACTGTTACTGGTCATATCAACATAACCTAAATAGTCCAAGTGACACTAAAAGTTGTGGGAGCAGTTCTACCGGATGAATTCCCACAGACCTCTCTCTCATTCCTTCAACCGCACATGTTCTCCAGTAAGTGTTCCTGGGTGAGTTTGAGAACATGCCTCCATGTGGGTTTGATCTCTCATTCTAGGCTCGTGATGAGGATGAGTTGTCTATCGCAGAATCGGAGGGTGGGTCTGACCGATTGGAAGCAGATGATTCAACTAAACCAGCACTTCCGTGCGCTGTGTGTCAGTCTGAGCCTGACGCTGAGATGGCAGCCGTGCTTACCCGGGCAACAGAGAGCAGCAGGTTCCTTTCTTCCCAGAAGTGCACAAGGAGCTGATAAAATCGTGGAAGGCACCTTTCTGCCATAACAAGATACACGTTTACGCCGTTCGCACCACCCTTGAACGCGGGTTCAGCGAGGGAATATATGGGGATCCCCCTGGTGGAGAGAGTGATTGTGGTGTATTTGCATGCAAGAGGCCGCTGCCTGGAGGGGCCATCCGAGACTCCCATCTAGAGCATGTAAGTTACCTGGTCCTTTGTGGCAAGAGATTATACTGCTTTTGGACAAGCTTTGTCCACTCTGCACGCCATGGCTGTCCTGCAGGTATTCAGGCCAGGGTCTGCACAAGGGTGATCCCAACCCAGAGCATGCAGGAACTGCGTTCAGCAACTGACTATGCCATCTGGGCTACGAAGGTCACGGTGCAGGATCTGGGGAGGGTGATGTCCACATTAGTGGTCCAGGAGCACCACCTGTGGCTCAATCTGGTAGAGATGCGGGATGCTGAGAAAGTGGGCTTTCTCACTGCCCCCATTTCTCAGGTTGGTCTTTGGCGACACCATTGAAGAATTTGCACTGCAATTCTCCATGGTTAAAAAAAAATGGAATCCATTAAACACTTCCTGCCTCGGCGTGGGTCAGGTTCTACCCCTGCACCCCGAAGCAGCAGCCTCTGTCTGTTTGCACCCAGATCTCTGGAACCTCCGTGTTTTGTGCCTGGACGAGACCAGGAGTATCTCAGAGGTCTTTCACCCACAGTGGTGAATAACATTACGTAAGCTAGGGCCCCCTCTACGTGGCGGCTATATGCCTGAAATGGTGCATTTTTGTGAATTGGTGTTTTTCCCATGGGAAGGATCCTCGGAGATGTGGCAACAGATCTGTCCTATCCTTCCTCAAAGAGGGCCTGGACAGGCACCTGTCTGCGTCTACACTCAAGATGTACGTGGTCGCTATTGCAGCGAACAACAACACAGTAGACTGCAGATTGGTGGGGAAGCACGATCTGGTTATCAGATTCCTAGGAGGTGCCCAGAGGGTTGAATCCTCCAAGGCCGTGCCTCATCCCCTCTTGGGATCTCTCAGTGGTCCTTCAGGCCTTAATGAGAGACCTGTTGAGCCCCTTCAGTCAGTTGGACTCTCTATGAAGTCACCCTTCCTGACTGTGCTCACTTCTATCAAGAGGGTGGGGGATCTCCAAGCCCTCTCCGTTAACGAATCGTGCCTAGAATTCGGACCAGCAGACTCTCACATTGTCCTGAGACCCTGGCCTGGATATGTGCCCAAATTCCCACCACTCCTTTTAGAGATCAGGTGGTAACATTGCAAGCTATGCCACTGCAGGAGGGGGACCCTGACCTGTCTCTGTTTTGCCTGGTGTAAGCCCTACGCATCTATTTGGAATACACACAGAGTTTCAGACTGTCTGAACAGCTCTTTGTCTGCTTTGAAGGTCAGCAGAAGGGGAATACTGTCTCCAAACAAAGGATCTCCCACTGGGTTGTGGATGCGATCCTTACTGTCTATCAGGCCAGAGGCTTACCATGGCCACTGGGTGTAAGAGCACACTCAACCAGGGGAATTGCTGCTTCATCAGCTTTAGCAAATGGTGCCTCATTAGCGGACATTTGTAGAGCTGCAGGGTCGGGCTTCACCTAATACATTTGCCAGATTCTACATTCTGCGAATGGAACCAGTTTCATCCAGAGGTTTGAGCACTACCTCTTGAACTCAGGTGGCTGGTATAGTTTAGAGCTTGCATTTAGTGACTTCCCCTCTCTGAGGTGATAATGTGTGCTTACTGAGTCCAGTTCAGTTCCTTCTTATTAACCCTGGACTAACCTTCCATCACTCAAGCACTCCCTTACATAACTGAGTTTAGTGGAGGAACTTGCTATAAGAATCCATTATGAGCAAGTATCCCTCAAGTGAACTATCATAATGGATTAGTGCTCCATATGTTGTGACTCCCTTTGGCGGCCCCATATGTGTATTAGTCCGCTACTCTGTTCCGAATAGGATTCAGTGTTTCCCCTAGACAGAGAGTCCGTCTGTTGCAGTTTAGCAGCTGTGGCGTTTAGTATAGGGACCCCTAGTGTCTGAACTTTGACACAACGTCGAAATGACCGACTGAAAGTGAACGTCTCAGTTACATATGGTAACCCTCGTTTCCTGATGGAGGGAACGGAGACGTTGTGTCCCTTATGCCACAACTCTGAACTACTTCTGAGTGGTTTGAGACACTTCTCGACTCCTCAGAACAAAACGAGAGAGCAAATGTCACGCTGGCCTATTTATACCCAGATGTCTGGGGTGTGGCCAGCTATGCAAATTTTGCTTGCCAATTTCATTGGCCTTTTCTCAAATTATGTCATTATTACACTATTTTAATATAATGAATTCTAGCAGTGGATCAAGCAAGTGTAAATTGGTCTAAATTTGCATAATGGAAGGGATGTAAATTATGTAAAACATATCAATGTGCAAATAGATTTACTCAAAATCTACCTGTAAATACAAATGCATACTGGTTGTGTAAACCACTACAATCTAATCACAACCCATCTACTCTTGACATTAAAATATCCTACGGTGTCTGGATGTTGTTGTCTACATTCAAGTGAGATGTTTATGCACATATACATGGCCTTTTCCATGGAGGCTTATATGAAATATGAATATGCTAGTATTTCATAGACACTAATGAGGTCAAAAACAAACAGCTAATTTGAATATTTCTTGAGAGTGTAAACACAAGAACGCCTATCCAGATGCAGAATGAAAATGGTTAGAGGCAGACGTGTAACATCTGACAGACTGACCTTATGAAAAATGCTTCTCTTTTCTAAAGTCACAATATATTCTTTATTATTTTCAAACCATGTTTGTGTGGTGCGTCTAAAACCCGGTATATACCCTGGAATGTTTATGTCACTTCGTTTCAGACACAGCAGTGAAATCACAGCAAAGAAAGGTGATCCAGTTAACATTTGGTCATACAACAGTTTTATGGTTGTATTCAAATGAGAATCAAAATCACATCTGAGATGAATCCATATTTTCACATTCACTGTAAACATATACTCCCATTCACATCAAAATCAAAAAGAACAATTCTAAATGTTTGACCATAGAGAAGATTAACATGCTGTTATCTTTTTTCTTTTAAATATATACACAATTAAATCACATTAATAAATTAATTCCACATGTATAACAATTCATAAAATGAAAGGAATGAATAATAAAACATATTAAAACTAGGAAAATTTCATACATAAATATAATATTGCAACCTGATATTGTGCATATCGCTGGAACGACCATTATATTCAAAACAACCACAATTTTTTGTGAAGTATGAGTGTGTGGTTTGATTCTACAGGAAGTGATGTGTTTGTGTGATCGAGGCAATAAGTAATTTTTTATATCTCGGTGGTTCTGTATTGACATCATTAGTTGGTGTGGGCTTTTACCTTGTCTATGCCTCCTCTGAGTCCCTTATGAACACAAAAAGACAGTATACCTATTTTTCTGTCACTTCCCTTCATTTCTTTTCCTGCCGTCTTCTTTTCTATAACACAATAAATATACTTTGCACACCTTTTCCAAATATTTGGCAGTGTATAAAACTGTGTATAAATTGACTATCACTTTTTTCAATATTCTAGACAACTATAGAAATATGCTCAAGAATTTAGATTAATGAAAATTTAGATGAATGAACATTGAATCTTACTACACTCTTGTGCTGTGAGCAGAGAAGTGTCTTCCTGCATTTGCATTCTGCATGCAGGCAAGGTACGGACAGATTCAAGGGTGGGGAGGGTCAAATACTTTTTCCACTTGGTGTCGTCAGAGACACGAACGAGTCGCAGGTCTTGTGAGCACCGAGTTTACCTTCTCTGAAATTCCCCAACATACTTGATTTCAGAGATTACACCCGAGACTAATCATACAGGTAGTGCATTTTGTCACAGTTCAGGCTGGAATGGAAATCTAATCTTTGAACTCTGAACAGTCTTTGAGGACCGTGCCTCAGTGCAGCTTTTACATCGAAATGCATTTGTACATGCATTTATAAGCTGTTCAAACAGTGTAACAGATGTTCTGCTGCCTTTCCAAAAACTCAATCAGGTTTGGATCTGCTAAACAATTTTTTTATTTCAGAGCATGTGATTGTGTGCAAGTACACTCCTGTCATTTATGCTATTACTTTGTATGTGGTATTCCTTTTGTTTTGGTCAAGAGATTCTATTTTATACCTAACGTCGTCCTTTCAGTAGTTTGAGATCATGTTTTGTTTGTGCCTCTTGCATGTGCATGTGTATTTTTGTGTGTAAAAGTGCAGAATGTGGATATTCATGTATGTTTATATATATTAAATTTTTTTGGTGGCTTGTGTTGCGTGAAAAAGGAAACTCTTTGGAGCTGCCCCTGTACTTCCAAGCAGCTTTTGCTGCTCTTCCTTCATTCAAAGGCGCAAGAGCGTCCTGCCCACCATTTTTGATGTTTACTGGAAGACACAGAGCTGCCGCTCGACTAGAGGGGAGGACCTGATGTAAAGTTGAACTCTGACTTCTGTTCAGACAGATAAGTCCAAGAAGGGAAACAAAATATATTCCAGACTTGCTTGCCTTATAGTCAAAAAGCTTTACAATCCAGCCAAGAGTTCCACGATTAAGCCATATCCTGGTGGAAATATCCATGCATGACTTTTCATAGTCTTCCAGACCTCGTTGCACTCTCTCTATCAGACATCAGATTCAATGCTTGGCATCCTCTTGTAGACACGCCGAGCTCCCCCAGCGCTCATTGCTCTGGGAGTGGTGTATGTGGCGACAGGGGGAGGGGCTACATAAGGCATGACATGCTCAGAATAATAAAGTTCAGGGGTTGGAATCCCCATGCCGAGCACATTGCCATCAGCCTGGCCTAATGTGAGCGGCACAAGCTGCTTATAAATGTCTGTGGAGCTGCGGCCGTGAGCTAGACGCTGGTCGTCACGAAGCGTCTGGAGAAATGGGTTTTCAGTTGGACGTGCCGGATACATTGACTTGCTGCGACGACCAATCCCGAGTCCGCTGACACCCACCCCCGCGAGCGTGTGGTTTAGGTGAACCGACTGATTTTTTGGGGGCTTGTCCGGGATCAGAGTCGCCGAGGGAACATTGGCGTATGGCGTGTTGTCCTGCAGACTGACCCGCCGTGAGGAACTCTTCTGGGGCAGATTCTCATATGAGTGCTGGCGGATGATTATACCCTCATTCTGGTAGTGACTAATAAGACCATCGCCTTCTTGGTCACTCTGGGGAAGATAGGCTGTGAAGGAAGCATCAGGCTGAGGGAGAAAAGGAGAGAAGGCCCTGTCAACACTTCTGCCACCAGTGCCCCGTCCATCTGGATAGAGGAATTGATCTTCGCTGATGTCATACAGGTAACATGTTGGCCTGAGGACTGAAGCCCAACTCTGGGGTTTTCTTCATCTCAATATGGACACCGTGAATACAGCTCCAAATCCCCTATAGGTGGAATGGAGACAGAAAGGATACAGAAAGAAGTTCATACGTGGAGGCTAACACCCAAAAGTACATATTAACACAATATTTCTCAATATAGTCCAACTGTATTTTTCTTGGGCCTACAACTCTATAAATCAATGAAATAAAGTAATATATCCTGCTGTGACAAACGACCGCACCCTGTAACTATATTCTAGAGATGGTGGCTGGTGCTATTATATTCTGTTATATAAGCTCTTTCTTATTTCGCAGCAAAAAATGTTTGTCAGCACATAAGCAGCAATTCCTACACTGATGAAGCTTTAAGACGACTGTGGTAAACAGCCACCATGACATGTTAATATGTCAAGATTGAGCAGATAATGGTTGCCTTCAGCAACGGAACTTCTCTAGTTAATTTACCATTGTGTTTCTGTGACATACCCTGCTGATAGTGAAGAGAACTCCTGGCCGACCAGAACAGAGACCATTGAAACAGTAACGTAGCCTCCAGTAGAAGAGGTGCTCCCAGACAAAAGTAATTAGCGACAGAGCCATGGCAGCCGCAAGCATATAGAACACACCAGCCATATTATCCACATCCAGCTGACTGCTCATCACTTCATTCTTCTCATTATGACAGATACCAGTCAGCCACTGGGCCTCCAGCTCTTCCATCTCACCTAATACACAACACAACATCACAGATTTAATGCTTATGCACAGACTCACAGAAAAGCAGGCTCGCATTTCTATGCATTTCAGGCAAGCTCCCGATGCAAAGGCTGTTAAATAGGTAGCAAAATAATTTTGCTTTGCGAGATATCTTGTTGAATAAACCAAATAAAAAAACTATATTTTTTAAAACCTAAAATTTTTCTAAAAATATAGTTAAATCTGAAATAAATATACTGAAAAAAATTGCCAAAAAAATGTATACTCAGAATTTACTAGTGAATTTCACAATGAATTACAAAGAAATAGCAAGTAACACATTGAATTAAATGTGATTTTTTTTAAAGTATAAACATAAGTATACATTTTCTTGTAAAAAAAACACTCCAATAATCTTTATTTATAACTTTGAAAAATCATTTTTACAGTGTATTTACCTATGATTTCACTCCCTGGAATATCTCCTTCTGATTGGTTGCTTGCAGCATTCTGCAGTCAATTTTTTTTAATAATTGCATATTTTAAATTGCATATTTGACCTCTGTCCCTGGCTATCAATCTCCTACACTGTTGTAGTTTTGCTCACTTTCTTCTACCATTCAAAAGTTTGGGGTCAATAACATTTTTCTAAATGTTTTGAAAGAAGTCTCTTATGTTCATCAAGGCTGCATTTACTTTATCAAAAATACAGAAAAAATTTAAAATAATGGTTTTCTATTTGAATATATTTTAAAATTAGTATCAGTATTTCATGTTCAAGCTCACATCTATTCTAATCAAATGAGTCACTTGTAATTCATGATATTTATGCTGCACATCTGGGTGAGTGTTAACAGGTTTTATCCTGTTTCGAAACAATCATTTATGAAGTTACATTTAATTTAGGATGCTGCCTATGAAGAGAACAAGGAATCTCACTAAGGTTAGGAACAGAGATAGTGTTTAATACAGAGGTCATGAAATAAGTGAAATAATAGAAAAGAAAAGCAGGAAAACACTGATACCATCTCCAATGATCCCGAGGATAGCAAGGTCAACCAGACGTTTCCAGTAGGATCCTTTCTGCAGGGCAATGCCATATCCTGTTGTGGCAAAGATGTAGCCACTGCCAATAGTTACTAGCTTACAGCCATCATCACGCCCCGCCATATAGTTGAGCACAGCAGCGTCATATATGAAAGCATCCAGTTTACTGTACAGACCAATAAAGCACAATTAGTGGCTTATATATATATATATATATATATATAGAAAAATTAACATTATGTCTACCAGAAATAATCTTGTTGGCAATGCAAAAAATGTGCATATCCCAGTCGTACCCTGTCTTGAGGCTGACCAGTGCATCCTGAACTCCAGTCTGATGGTATTTCACCATGTATTGGTGCATGTCTGGGTAGTTTTTCCTGATGTTTCGCTCTGTGCTCCCATTAGGCACGGTTCCGAAGCGAAACGGTGGTGAATAGGAATAGGGGCTCTGAAACTATAAAACAGAGAAAAAAAATACATCAATTAAATGAAGAACAGTGAGGGCAGCTTTAAGAGATACATGGAGGGAATCAATACAAGCTCAAATACAGAAATATATCCGGGGAGATAAACCTAGTAACTGGTGTAGTTCAGACACTCCATCTTGTAAATTTATAATGACATACGGACGCTTTCTCAAAACCTAGTGAGCTGCCAACTAGACAACACACTGTAAAATATGTTTTGTCAGGTAGCCTAGAAAATGTGCCTTATGTGGTAACATCTAAATTAAGTGTTTTTTTTATTTGAGTCAGAGAAATTATTTTTTATAATAATACATTAGGTTACACAAAAAAGTAATTTTTAATGTGAAAATAGCTTCCTATAGCACCATCTGCATTTTTGTACTGAGCTCAGCAACAAATGATAGCCAAGATGGCTGACAGAGAACTTAGAACTTCAGTGTCAACAAGACACAACTGCTACCAGTGATGTCAAGCACCTATTTTTTGAGGAGGCGCGAGTGCCAGCCCTGCAGATTCCTTGGCAAGATAAGACATTACTAAAAGAAAAACACACATTAACTACTTAAAAGTTCTCTACATACACTACCATTCTACAGTTTGAGGTCATTAATTATTATTATTTATATATTTTTAAACACAATCATACTTATATTCAGCAAAAACACATGAAATTGATAAAAGGAGCATTAGAGACATTTGTAATGTTACAAAGGATTTCTATTTTAAATAAATGTTGTTCTTTTGAACTTTCATCAAAGAATCCTGATGTAAAAGTGTATAAAAATATATTTAAGCACAACTGCTTCCAACATTGATAATAGTAAGAAACGTTCCTTGAGCAGTAAAGCAGCGTATTAGAATGATTTCTGAAAGATCATGCGACACTGAACACTGGAGTAATGATGCTGAAAATTCTGCTTTGCCATCACAGAAATATGTCCTATTTTAAAATATATTAAAATAGAAAACATTAACAACATTTCACATTATTACTGTTTTAATATTTTACTGATCAAATGAATGCAGTCTTTTAAATGGTAGAGTGAATATCAGACAGGATAATCTAGTCACATATTTTATTTCCATCCTGACATATAGTTACAGGAATAGATATGCATACAGGTTAGAGTTAGAGAGACAGTAAACAGTAAGACAGCTCAGTATATTTCACAATACACAAAAAATACCTTTCTGTCACTGAGCCCTGTGACTTGATCCACAAACTCCTCTTGGATCATAAAGGCAGCCAAGTTGGCAGTGTAGCTGGCCAGGAAGATCACAGCGAAAAAGGCCCAAATGGACACAATAAATTTACTGGTAGTGCCCCTGGGGTTCTGTACTGGGACAGAGTTGTTGAACACCAGACCCCACAGCAGCCAGATAGCCTTACCAATGGTGAAGGAGGGTCCATGAGGGTCTATAGAAATGCATAACAAGAAAGAGTGAAACTCGGTGAGTAGGAAGTCATAAGAGTTTTTTGGATCTACAGATACTCTATCTTGACAGATACTTTAATCTTGAGATTTTAAAATTTTAACTCTGCATTCTGGCTGTTTCAAAGCAGATGTAGGTTGACTGTGTGGTTGAGGTTGTGTATCATACCTTTGCCCTGTGCTAAGTTTCTATTGAAACCGAGCGGACTGATGAATTCAAAGAGGAAAACAGCGATTGCTGTGACGATGAGTAACATGACAAACATCATAACCCACACTGAAGCACTGAAGGGTTCTGAGGGAGGAGAGAGAATAGAGAAAATGCATGGGGTTAAGGCAGAGATTACCAAAAAAAAAAAACTGGTTCCAGAGGGATTTCAATCATATTATTTCATCCATTACCTAGAAACGCAGAGGGTGACACCGTTCCATTGTTACGTGACACCATTACGCTTATGCCTGTCTCGACAAATGGGACAGAGAAGTCTATGGCCTCTGACCGCTCTTCATTTATGGTCAATGAGCCCACAGCCATTATAGCCTTTTTATAGACTACCTATACAGCAGAGAAGAGAAAACAACTTAATAAACACGCGTGTATAAATATATAAATAAATAAATATATATATAGTGGAAGACAATAATGGATGGATGCATGGATAGAATGATAGACTAAAAGAATGACAGATTGGTAGACAGACAGACAGATAGATATATAGAATAGATAGACAGACAGACAGACAGACAGATAGACAGATAGATAGATAGATAGACAGACAGACAGACAGACAGGCTGAATGATGGATAGACAGACAGAATGAAAGACTGATAGATTGATAGACCAATGGACAAACAGAAAGCCAACATATAGATAGATAGACAGACAGACAGACAGACAGATGGACAGATAGATGAAAGATAGATAGACAGACCAAAAACAAATAGATAGATAGAATGATTGACAGACAGACAGAACAACATACAGACAGACTTAATGATATACAGATAAACAGGAAGATAAACAAACAGACAGACCGATAGTACAAAAGATTGTTAGATTGATAGAGAGACAGAAAGATACGTAGATAGACAGCCAGACAGACAGGGAAAACTGACATCCATGTGACTGAAATTAAAACTGATGATTCACTCATTAGGTTATTTAAAGTGACTAACCTCCCCCACCATGCCGTTCCACACATTATTGATCTTCTTTCCATGTTTGCCATTTGTGACCAGGTAAAGATCATAGGTGAACTTTACATTTCTGGCAATCTTCTTCAGGATGTCTATACAAAAGCCCTTGCAGCACTTCTTGATATAGGAGCCCTCTGTGATATTACTGCAGCATATACAGGCACAGCAATACAGAAAACAGCTGATACTGAGAAAGATTGAAGATAACTCAATCTAATAGGTTCTAAATATAAAACACAAAAGTTCATAACCACATTAGAGACTGCACAATTATTTCTGTATTGCCCAGGAAAAGAATGCTCTCATGCTAAAGGTTAAGATAGTATGCCTGTGGAACTAGATTATTCAAATTAGTATTAGCTGCAAAAGTTAAATAAATAAAACTAAACTCACTCTTTAATGTGTTTCCGGCAAGGTACAGAGTTACGCGTGCATGTGCCAGTAAGAATGTCCACATCATCCACTATAACAAAGGGTCTTTCCTCTAGAGTCACAATGCTCAAGTGGTTCTCATCAGCGTCTATGTCCCCGAATGAATTATAACGTGGCCAAACTGGAAACTTCAACTTCAACGTGTGGTTTTCCCATCGCCCCATCTGTAGACATACACACATAAATATTGGCTCACAAATAAACAAGGTCTGAAGGTTCTACTAAAGTGGCCTCCATTAATATAAGTTTGGGGAGGAAAATTTGATTTTGTGCTCTTCAAAACAAACCAAAGGAATGTTACACTGTTACACTTGTATATTTTATCCAGCAAGCAAATAAGTCACTGGGACCCAGGTCTATCTTTCCTTCAGCCTTCTGTATTACATGTCATCTCATTTACTGTCTTTGTTTACCATGCACTTATGCTGTATGTGGTTGACAAAAACAAACTGTAATGTCTAGATTTGAGGGTTTTACACACACACACACACACACACACATATATTTATATATATATTACGGTGGCAGAGAAGTGCAAAGCAAATCACAATTCTGAAAACAAAATAACAAATTACAAATGCAAATGCAAGTCTAAAAAACAAAATAACAATTCAGAAAGCACAACAACAATTCAGAAAACACAATGATAAATTCGAAAACAAAATAACAAGTCAGAAAACACAACGACAAATCCGAAAACAAATTAACATGTCAGAAAACACAATGACAAATCAGACAAACCGGAAGAGGTAGGTATAGTTTGAGACAGCGCCATTGGTTTGGGATTACTCACCGCTGACTGGACGAGACATCTGTCAATCAACGTATACAGGAAGAACCAGCCGAAGAACAGCAGAGTCGTGGTAGAAAGTTCGGAGATGGTATTAAAGTAGCTCAGTTTAAATGTATTGTATGAATTGCCCTTATTATGGAATTAAAAATATGGAGTGTCTATTTACATTTAGTTAAAAGTGGCTGTAAAACATCAGCTCCAGTGGCGCAGATGGCTAAGTGCTTGTCGCTTGTCGAGATTTGAAAAGGGAGAAAAAAAAAGTTCGGCAAAAGGCGGGATCGAACCCGGGTCGATCGCATCAAAAAGCCAACGACATGCGCTTATCCATCTGTGCCACTGGAGCTGATGATTTAATACCATCTCCGAACTTTCTACCACGACTCTGCTGTTTTTCGTTAGCAAATTTTTTTTTATTTTTTTATTTTACCATTGAGCCTATGTCATGTTAATAATTTCGCACATTGTTTTGCCTGTGCAGTTCATGGTAATATTAATCAATGTTAATGTTGGATTTACAGGACATTTTTGTTACTTTTGTACAATAACCAATTTTAGTTGCAACTTGAAATTCTAGATAATATCGGGGTCCTCCTCATACAAAACCAGTTATGAAATCACAGTTTTAAACAGTCCTGTGTGGTAAAAAATTATTTTTAGAAGTACGACAGTGTCTTAAAACTACAAATTACAAAAGAACAAAAGCTGTTTAAAGTAGTTTGAGATAGCATGGCAGACTGTGAGATATTGCTGTTTCTGCTTGAAATGTCATGTCAACTCATGTAACAATGTGTCAAATGTACCCCATGCACTCTTTGTGCAAGTTATGCGTTACATCAAGTGTGTTTGTTACTTTGTTGCTGCTTGATATGCCATGTCAGCTACCCATGTATTGACAATATGTCAAGTTTACCCCATGTATGTGCACTGCATTCTTCATGCAACAGTTATGTGTTTCCGTCAAGTGCATGTGCTCGTCTATAAGCTCCGATTACACGATCGGCTCACACCCTGTTCTAGCCCTGCTGCAGTGAGAAATGATTAGTGTCACACTTTTCACACAATCACTGCAGGGTTTTAATGTGAGTGTGTGTGTGTCTTCACACACACTGCAGGGCACTGTCAAAACACACAGCATCCAACACACCTCAAAGAAAAAAAAACAACTCATTAAAAGAATGCATGAGTGAGCAAACGATTACGAAAACGAGTGTGTGAAGCACCGAGATAGAATAGGAGAACATGTAAAGCTAATTAGAGAAAGGGCACAAAGACAGAGAATGGATTACTGTACAAAAAACAAGCAAAATATTTATGCTAATAGCCAAAATAGAGAGAAAAGGGGCATTAACCAGCACAATCAAATTGGATGGAGACACATGTGCACTCTTCCCCAATTTAAAGAAGTAATTTCAAAATAAATCAGTTATGAAACCAATGCCTTAATAAGGGCTATTTTCACTCTTTATGACTAAGTAAACAATATTTTAAGTCATGTGCATGAAAAAACCCCAGGCTGTGAAATGGAAAGTACAAATTAAATGTTATTTTTCTTTAATAGCAAAGTCCAGTGCATTTTCAGTCACAGTCACAAAAAGGCTTTGAGCTAGTAAACAGAATATTGATTGATTGCTTATGTTCCAGCATCCCCTTACAGGCAAAGCTAATAGAAGAAAATGAAGATTTGGGAGGGATACAAATATTAAAGGCTCTTACCTTCTCCCATTCCCTCTGCGTGTTCAGAACAATGACAACAAGTTTGGGATTGACTTGGTAGCCATCATCCATGAACGAATTATCTCTGCCCCCTAGATTGACTCCCATCATATATCTGCAACACACACAGACACAAAAACCACAAACAGTTAAATATCAGCAGAGTTACAAGATGCTTTAAGGTTTCAGGGCTCGACAATAAGGACTGCCCGATGGCCCGGGGCCAGTGTGAAAGACGCTTGGGACAGTTGACGGATTTGTCACTGGCCCAATCGGGTAACTGCTGCATCGTTACGAAAGTTTAACATCTGCATGTGTTTTTAAGCCTTGCTAATTAACCAATTCAAGTGATTTTAAAGCATTCAAGCAAGACACGAAAGACAATTCCATTCAGTACTCACGCGCTGTTCTTTGTGTATTAATCGATAGAAGCACCGGTCGACCGGCCATTTTTTTTTTTGCTTGCACACAAACTGCATTGCAATCATTTTTCAAAATGTCATTTGTGTGGAAATATTACGAAGTCTGTAAACGGGTGTTAACAGAGGCCAGAGACGCTAAAGACAGATGTAAAAGGAGAAAATACTGTAGCAGGAAGAGCAAACTCGCTGTTCAAATTTCATGCAATATTGGAAGAAAATCCTATTGAATTGGGGGTGGAGGTTTATACGAATGTATCTCTGAGGGGAACTGAATGTCTTCAGAAAAGATTACATGGCGCTTTCTTTTTATCTTGCATGTGTAATGCATATTGAAGTAGTATTTCTAAGTGCAGCGCTGCTTTGTTTACAGCGGTAACCAAGGAAATGCTGTATTGCTGCTGTTCCAAAAGCGACACCTGCTGTCAGAGAGTGAATTTACATCTCATTCAGTCCGTCTGCTGTTTTTGTTTCATCCAGATAGGTTTTATATTGTATAATTTCACAAAGCTAAAATCAGACCATTCTGTTTTTTTCTTCAGATTTTCCAATTATACAAATGAACTTGAATCAAAAACTGCACGTTATATGTGTGTAGCATTTGTGTCCTAAATGCAGTGATTGCCTCTAATTTCAAATGGCTACAGACATTAATCAGTTTCTGTACCCGAACACCTACAAACCTAAAAACCTAAAGCACTGTTTAATTTGTATCTTTGTTCTATATATTTAATTGTGTAATTGCTTGTAATTTGTTCTTATTTACTGACTGTTCACTTGTCTTTAATAATGTTTAAACTTAATATATGTTAAGCTAGTAGTTTTTGCTGTGGTATCGAAACTGGAATCGAGAATTGTAAAATTTAATTGGTGTCATATAGTAGATTAAAATATAACATAGTTCAAAAACTGTGATAACTGCAACTATTAAATTTTTTTGTGGCAGGGCCAGTGAAAATGTTGCCAGAGCAAGTAAAAATTTTAAGGATTGGTCCGACTGGGCCAGTAGAAAAAATCCTTAGCGTTGAGCCATGGGTTTACTTGTAATATTGTGTTCGGACCAAAGTTGTTTTCATTGACTAAATGTGTTTTCAAACTGTTTGGGGGTGGAATGCAAGTCATTTAATGAAATATAAGTGAAAAGCTCTAAGGTAAACAATATAAATAACATCCGACTGAACACCATTAGGTGCCTTATCTATTTCGCAAGACATTAAATTGCCTTTTAATCTTAAACGAGTTAAATCAATCTATCCCAGTTCCGTATTTTTGTAGCCAAAACCCAAAATTCAATGAGCCAGCAAACACATAAACACAAAGTCTTGCAAATGCATTTAGACCCTCAACTAATTCATTTTAAATGGACAAATTATGCATTGTTTCTCATCTTTCAATGCATTAAAACTCTAAATTATTTTAATGTGGAATGTCTGAAGTATTCTGAACAACAATAACAACATCAATTTAAAGTATTCAATCTCCACAATTTAATATTTTGTAGATCCACCCTTTGTTGTAAAGACAAACACTTTTTGTGGTGTGTATGTAAGAGCTTCACATTCTACATACAGGTGTTAATTTTCCTTTTAATTGAATTCTGGCAGATTTGCTTCAGGTTGTTCAGTTAATAGGATGACACTTATGCTGTTCGCAAACTTATCTTCACAAACTGATTTTGTAGAACATTCATCTTTATGGTCTTAAATCTGACACTCGGTTCTTTTTTGTTTCAGAAACAGGATCTCTTGCGTCTTTCAGTATTTGCTTTTCATTCATTCTGTAGACATACAATAGCTTTGTACTGTATAAGAAACTACAGTTTACACCAAATTGTTATTAACTCATTAATCTTCTCATCTGCATAGACTAGTTTCATGGTGCTTCTTGACAGGCGCTTCACAGACCCAGTCTTCTTTCAAAGCCTCAATTTTTTTTTTTTAATCCATTTTTTTGTGTTCGATGGAAGAAAGATGGTCACAGGTTGGGAACCACACAAAGGTGAGTAAATAATGCCAGAATTGGGCAAACTGGGAACATTAGCTAAAAATATCTTATTCTAGTTACATCTGATAAAGTGGTTTCTTTTGCTACATCCTCCTCCCATATGGCACTATGATAATGCTTGACTGCTCATTCCATCTTTTACTTTGATCTCAACTGCTGAACTCTGTAACTCTTTCAAAATTATCTCTAGCCTCTCTTACAACTCTGCTTGTTTGTGCAGAGAGTTTTGAGGGATGACCTTTTCTAGATGGTGTCTGAGGGGTTTGTTGTAGTTTCCACTTCCTCATAATTGAACCAACACCACTGGGACATCCAAAGATTTGGACATTGTTTTGTAACCTTTTCCTAAAACATTTGTCTAACATTATTGCTGACATATTCAAAATGCTCTTTAGACTTCATTTTCACAGCTGTCCTTTAGATTAACAACCTGAATAATTATCCCCTAACCGTGACATTTTTGTTTATCTAGGAAAGGTTATAATGACTCACATGTATAATCCAATTGTACCTGTTCATATCCACCACCAGGAATTTTATTTTTAAATTGTTAACCGATTAAAAATGTATCAAATTCATTTTATGCTGATTCCTTTTTTAATGCATTGCTTTTTTAAAACAATTAACTACTAAATTGTACTAAATTAACAACCATACAATGTTTGTGAACTTAAAGCTTCTGTAACCTGTAAACACTGAATATGCATCCAGCATATTTAATTTTTTAAAGGAATGATATTACATTAAACTTAATTTACTGTTTCAGTGCTTAAAAGTAAAAATGTCACAGATACTGTACTTAAACAATGATTTGTAATTAACTAAAAATATGGTTTGGTTAAAGAATTCGTTCTCTCTCTCAAAAAGAAAAGAAAAAAAAGTCTGTAATTTACTCACCCTCAAGGTATTCCAAACCCATAAAATGTTCTTTCTTCCGTGGAAAACAAAAGAAAATTAAAATCTTGACATCTGCCCTAAATCTCCTGGAAAAACAATCAGCATCTTTTCAATTAAATGTTGATCCAGTTCACAAAAACAGTCTGACTCAACAGTTCACAGGAGGGGAAGATTACTATTATACACAAAGCTATCATATGGTTTCAGAAGACTTGGAATACACAAGTTGTATGGACTACTACTATCATACTTCTACAGTGCTTTGAAACTCGATAGCTTCAGTCCCCATTCACTGTAATGGCATGGTAATGAGCGACCAGTCCAGTTATTCAAAATGTCTCCATCTGAATCACATGGAAGATGGTCACATGTGGTTTAGCTCGACATGAGAGTGAGTAAAAAGACAAAATTTACATTTTTGGGTGAACTCAGATGGCACAAACTCTCTTCGGAATTTAATTAAGAAACATGAACATAACTAAATGGGGTTTAGCTTCAGGCAGAAATGAAAAGAACAGGGTCAGAGCTACACCTGCTACTCAAATACAGCTTCTGTTGTGTGTGTTTATTTGTTAGTGTGTCTTATTCATATATTAGAGATTTCCACAGTGCAAAAATTAAAATGTATTTTTGTAATAGCCGTCACAGAGTTTTCTCTTAAATAAACACATAATTCTGTGCATCTAATCTCACTGATTGAGAAACAGAGAGACAGGGGAGAGTGTAATATACTACACACTACGCAGAGTGACCTTTATTTTCCATAGTCTTCTGGAAATTATCGAAAGCTTATGACTAATTATGACAGTGAGAGTTTGTGGTTTATAAAATGTCATTTCAAATGGCTTTCTGTACACAGAGCTTTTTTATGCGTGATCTCAATTAACAGTGAAATGTTAGTCGGAGATTAGATGTAGTTTAAATGCATATTAGGTGATGATAGTTCCACATGGAGCCACGGATGCTATTAATCTTTCTCTGGTCAGGTCTTTGTTAGTGCTGTGCTAAAGTGTATGATCACTAACAGGGCTGTCATGATTGTGAAATTCTGGCTCATCATGACAAATGATTGCAATAGACCGTTTTGTTCAAATGAAGCAGAGGCCATTTCATATTTACAAATTGGAATCCTTGAATAATATATAAGGCTTTGTAATACAAATATTGCACCTGGGTATAAAATAATAATAATAATAATATTATTATTATTATTATGTGTATATACACACACACAATATATATATATATATATATATATATATATATATATATACACACACACAGTGTGTTTTGTGTGTGTTCTTTTTTAAATAAATAATAATAAACTATATAGAAACATTTAATATAGTTTTTGTGATATATATATATATATATATATATAAAATAAAAATGACAAAAATATGTACAGTAAAATTCCATGTCTTACAAATATATTCCATTCACAGTCAACCAGCCAACCTGAAGTTATATATTTTTTTATTATGTAATAGTATTTCAACACTGTTTATTAAGTTTTTACAATAAAATATACAGTACAAAATACAAATTAGCCTGAACAGATCTTCCCCATATAACCCTATGATGACATACCCCTACAACCCTAAATCTCCATCCCATAGTGCCACAAGTAAATAAATGAAACAAATATTGATTTAAAAAGTAAAAGATAGATAGATGAGGTCTATATATTCTGTTCTGTTGATATACCCAAATATAGATATAAATATTGATATAACCAAATATATATTCAAGGGGCACATAAGATGATACTTTCTTAGTCCACATAGAAGTCGAAGGAGGTTTCGAATCCTTCCATTTCAACATTATACATTTTATGGCTGCAAGAAGAGCTAT